ATCCATTCGGCGGCGCGGCACCGTGTAATACGTCGAGCGAGAGCACGAGATCGCGATCCGGCTCGGCCAGGAAACGTATAATGGGAGTATAATGCGTGAAATTTACTGGCCGCATCGGCATAATGGACGACGTGACGCTCAAGATATCACCGTGATTCCATATTTCCGAGCGATGCGCACGCGGCGCGGCGCGGCGCGACGAAGCGTAACGCGGCGAACCACCGCGTGTACGCGTCGGTTTAGATCTCGAATTTTAATACGAGCAATTATCAGAACGGGACGGGACGGGACAGGCCAGACCGAATCGGCCCGGTCTGCGGCCCTCCACCGCTCTCGCCGCCTCGAATATCCGCATCGCATCGCGCATTTATCGCGCGCGGCCTCGGCCTGTAATTTCGCCGAGTCGAATTTCAACGTTGCGTGTATCACCGGATATCGTCGATACGTAGATCGCGCAACGCGAGGATTTCAGATTTAATTAACCTCGTCGCGGTAGTCGAGGGTACCCGGCATTTATCGCCGACAGAATCCAAATTTCCGACATTTACGAGAGACATTTAAAATCGCGCGATTCCCGCAAAGACACTTTCACGAATTTTCGATATAATCCGATCGAATATACGAGTAGACGAGTAGATCGTTAGAAAAGTATTAAAGCTTCCTGTGCTACGCCGTCTCTCTTACGAAACGGCGGTCTTGCGCAATCCGAGATTAACATATTGCTAATTAAGTAGTCTCGGCGCGTCGCGCCTCGGCGTGGCGGAATTAAAAGCGAGGAAGACGAAAGACGACCGGGGGGGAGAGAAGGAGTCGCGCGACCGGTTGCGGCGCGTTTTTTCAGCTGCGCACATTTGGACGCGTTTGAACAGCGTGTCGGCGCAAACATACCGATTAAAAGTATCAATATTTACCGAATTGGGGGGTCCTGCGCAAACGTGCGCCATGCAGTTTACAGGAGGTAGTAAACCCGGCGGCGAGGTCCGGTCTCTCTAATGCGCGCGTGTGTACGAGTGTACGTAACGACGCCCGTCCGCCCGTTGACGTTCGCAACGTGTACCCTACTAACTAACGTCAGCACTTCGCACTTCGTCCGTTCATCCGTCCGTCCGTCCTTTCCCGCGGAGTTTACGGATCACCGCTCGTCGTCCCTTCGTCTCTGCTCTTTAATCCTACGTTCGACTACATAGAAAATGTGGCATATGCGAAAAAAATATTTTACGTTTAGACGCAGACTTTTGAAATGTTTCGAAGGAAATTTAAAAAGGATTCAGAAGATGCAGTGTTGAATATGAATAGCATGCAACGTTGAATACGAATAGATTTAATTTTGAGTCGTAATATTCAGTAAAAAAAAGGGCCGACATCAGTTGGGCGATCTAAATATATTATAAGAGGTAAATCATCAACACCGATGTTTTAACTTCTGATGAGGTAATTTAAAGATTTTAAATAAAAATATTTAATATAAAGACAACTTTGGAAATATATTTTTTTAATGTGTCCCAAACATGTGTACATACATCAGAATTTAACTCGCCCCTTTTAGGGGACGTTTTCACAAGAGACTACCTGACCATGTCCGGTATATCCTCTGCTATTACTGTTATTATTAGGGTCGAGTTTTTTCCCGGGACTCTCATTACATTGCCCGTTAAGTTCCTTTTCTCGGGCTAACGATACCGCAGTGCAAAGTGACGTTTGACTCGCGCGATTGTCACGCGGCGATCGTCGCCGTCACAATTACCGGTAAATACGTACAATATACCTTCCTCCATGAGTCACGTTCGAGTCATGTTTGACTCGATTAGCAAGTAGCGAAAAAATTGTTTGTCCACGGCGGGCAAGTCGCGACGCCACAAAAAAAAGGCGTTAATACCCTGTGTAATGGTCGGAGAGACGCGCGTTATATATCGTCGAGCGAGAAAGAAAAGCGAGAAACGACGTGAACGTGACGGGACTACGCAACGACGAGTCCGAGAGTCGGGCGATGGACGGCGGTCGTGCGCGACGACTAAGTTCGCCATTATCTCGACCGAGCCCCATTAAATGCAGACAGCGCCGAGTCCGCGACGCGGCAGGGACAGGCTCCGCTCGTACGATTCACGGATCAACGACTCCGACGTGCCGTGACGAAACGGTCCTGTTCGGCAACGACGACAAACGCGCGATTGTTCCGCATTCGTACCGGCCGGCCGAATTTTCGGAGCGCGGCGAAGGAGCACGTGTGCGCCGCACGTGACGCGCCTTATTGTCGAGATGAAACGGATTCAATTTGTCGATACACTTGTGTGTTACAATTCGAGATCAAGACACGTATTTCGAGGGATCGCGGGTGCGCCCCACGTGGTTTACGTCATCCCGGAATCGCCCGGCGATCCTGATATCGCTCGCGCGACGCGCAACGAAAGTCCGACACGTTAACGAAAGTTTCGTCAGACGAGACCGAAATCCGATGCGCGGGCAAAGCGAGAAACGCCGATCGAGAGATCTCGCGCGTTCGCGCCGACAAGACGAAACTCAAGAAGTCGCTCAGATTTGCCGACGACGACGGATCGCGTTACGAGAGGTGTGGATTTGCGTACTCGGGATAATGGGAGCGCAATCGAGCGTGAGAGCTTATAAGCTCTCCGCGGGAAGAAAAATGATCTCGCCAGCTTGCGGAGAACGAGGCGAGCCGCCTGACGTAGGCTGTCGTCGTTGCGATTTCTTTCTCGCGAGCGGCAACAAGGACACGAGAGATCGAGGCGGAATAGGAGGGGGAAAGAGTCGCGTCTAGCGGTCAAGGAGGAGCAGGTTAAACAGGGTTAACAACGATGTAAATTACGGGCGTAAATCAGATCGCCGCGCGCGGCGCGACCGCGCTGGTCCGCGCCGGCGCGCCACGTCGTTTCGCATCCCGTCGCGTCGCGTCGCGTCGCTTCGCAACGCGGCGATGCATAGGTATGCAACGTGTACTGCGAAATAGACCGGTGGCCTACGGCAGTGATCTCGAAAAAAAGATCGGAGCGGCCATTTCGCGAGCGGAGCGAGAACGTATCGACGTCGCGATCTCTCTCGCGTGTTTGAGAAAACTATACCGGCTCCGGTATAAAATATAAGCAATTCCAGAAGATACGATTTCGCTCCGCAAAATACATACCGATCGCCATTAATACCCGCCGCATTTCCGGCAGCGAATAGCGACGCGCGTATAGGCGCGCATCATACTAATTTATTCGGTCTGAGAATTTACCTTGATTAAATCCGATAGCTGTTTAATGGTTACACAATTGCGGTTTACGCAGTTTATCTCCCGCCCACCCTCTCCCGCTCGTCGAATGCCAACGTCGATGATGGGCGCAAATAAACAACGGTCATCGTTGTTGTTGTTATTATTATCATCGTTATGTTATTGATAATCGCTACTCACCGGATGCCTAGCGGCGGCGGCAGCCACGGCGGCTGCGTTGATTCCGGCGCTGGGATACATCCTTCCTGCGTGGTTCCCCGCTTGGTTCGGTACGTCCGCCGAAAGTCACACAGTATCTACGGCGTTACGTATCTCGTTGTACTCGATGAGACACAGAGGGAAAATTCTTCAGTGATGATGATGCATCGTGTGCACACACGTGGCACACTTTATTCTCACTTTATAAATGCGCGAGGGGTCAACAATAATAACAACAACAAACGGCACAACAGTAACGGCCGATAACAGGAGCGAAACGCGCGACGTTCCGAAGTAGCCGGTGGTTCATTCGGGACGACGAGAAGGGAAGGAGGATACGGAACTCGCGCGCCGATTTATTCCTCGACCGCTACGAAGCTGATAGTCGGCACTCTTGGCGATGACGTGTCGTCCCGCGACGACGCGCTACGTTCCGATGCGACGCGTACGTAAACGTGATACGCAACAGCCGGTTTCCCCGCCGAAAATCCATCGGCGGTCGCCACCAATCCATCCGTCACTACCGTCTCATCGGGGACGCGCGAAAGACGGTTTATAACTTAACGGTAAAACACCTTCTTGCACTCGCGTGCGGGCAGTGATCGGTAGCGGCGTCTCTCTTCTCTCTCTTTCTCTTCGGTTCGCCGGGTCAGGTGAGGCTGGTCGTCGCGTTCATTCGGAATCACGCACGACGCGCACGAGCCGACGAAAACGCGGCGCGGGCGAGGAAGCGACTCGGTTATCTCGACGCGACCGTGTCCGCGCCTTTCTTTGTTCTCTCGCGAGAGTGAAAGAGTGAAAG